CACTGAAATTTGAACATTTTGCTGCAGAATTTCAGCAGTGTGATTTGGACCATTTGAGGTTCCAAATGAAAAATGAGCAGAAAGAGATCAGTCCATTTTTTTTCCTGTGATATCACAGATGTTCACATTTAATATTTTCTCAGTCTCAGATCAAACTACTGTTTTATTATAATAAATACAAGCTTCATATAAAAAATGAAGTATTTCCAGATTCCACGTTGCAGTTCTTATTTATTTCTAAGACATATGGCACATTTTAATAGAGATCATGCTTAGTATAATATAGTTTTTAAATAAATCTTCTATTCTTATCCTGTTAGAAAATAACATATAACTACTTATTTTATTGATATTCTTTCTGCACAAAGATATCTGTAAAGATTCTTTAATCAGGGCATTTCCAGATGCAATACAAAAGAATTAGGATTCAATACCTTAATAATCCAACTAACCCAGTTTGTGGCATAAGTTCAGAATTGTTACCTCATCTCCCCCTTTTTCTACAGTTACAGAAATTAGATCTGAAATAGTCCAGTTTGGTTTAGCTTATATTATTTTGTTATTAACTACACACACACACACACACACACACACAGAGGCAGCATAGCTATGACAGATCCAAAGCACAGTTGTTGGAGAAACCACTCCAGAAACCTGGCATGTCTCCTACTATCATTGAGCACAGTACCTATTTTGAAATTATAGCACCAGTCCTGTTCTAGACGTGGATAGGCAGCTACAGCCCTCAAATGGATGGCGAGGCCTTATCTCCATAAAAATAGTTACCCTACCAGTGTAGTACATTTCAGCTGTGTTGCAAAGCTAGATATATATCACAGTGCTTATTTTACTGTAACCATATCTCTCCTGTGTGAGTGGAAGTCAGTTTTGGCTAGTTCATTTTTGCAGGACAGAGATACAGCTGCAGAAGCCTTGCATATCTTGGTCAAGCTCTGAGAGGAATACAACAGTGTATTACTTGGTATTAGCTCCCCATGAATTCCATATGCATGTGGACCAAACACTTAAAGCTATTTCCAGGAGCCTTTCAAACATCTTCAGATTATCTCTTCGATATCATTCAAAATACTAGGGAAATTGAGGGTAGATGTAATTTCCAAGCAATCCAAGCATGTGCCAAGCAATCATTTTTCCAGAGCTGTGTTTCTACAATTAGAAGGACTGGGTGTCGGGACTTCTATCATTCTGATTAGCTTAAAAATCTGTAAATAGACTGCCAGCAGATATGAGAAGGGCTAAAGAGTAGCCCTGTTCTCCCTATTTCCACATAGTTGATTGGGAAGAACATGAGGAAAAAGCAAATTTGCTTCTTCTCACCAAATAGCCATACGCCTTTGTTGCAAAGCACCAAGAAGAGAACAGCAGGGAGGAAGCAGCCAGGCTTACTCCATATTCTATGCCTTCACACCATTTGCTTTTCCCTACCTAGTGGACCTCCATCCCACCTCTCAAACATGGACACGCATGGCCTTAGAAAGCTCCATACGCTTTGCAATCTTGCCGTATGACAATTATGTCAGAGAGTCTCTGCCGTACTCTCCATAGATGGGAGCTTAAACTGCAATTAAAGCTGTATTGTTCAAAAACCTCTGGTGATGTATTTACAACAATCTTAGTTCAGATATTCTGACTATAATATGCAGAAATTACTACAATGAAGTTTAATGAATGATATTATGAGTACAATAAAATTAGCAAAGGCACAACTGAAGACAGTAATATGCCAGTTTCATCCACTTTTCAGTTTCTGGAGAATTTTCATTTTGAACTTAATTACTACTTTATTAACATCTTTACTGAAAAGGTGCAACTTAGACAAATTTGTAGCACCAGTAACTACCAGCTCTGTGTTGACTGTGCCCATTTATGAAAACACAGTTTGTCAGCTTTATCATTATATATAT